ATAAGCCAGGGAGGCAACACTGCAAAGCAAGTTTCAGGGGTGAGTGATGCTCTCAGCTGTTGCTAGGATAACCGCTCCTCCCCCAACCGCATGGCTGGCAGCAGCTTTTTGACTCCTTCCACCCTCTGCTTTCTGGGCTTATTTGGGGGGAGTTGGATTCTGTGCTGCCACTCTGCCTTGCAGTGATGGACGTGTTCTCGGCCTGGGCCTCGAGGGGTCTGGCCAGCTGTGGCCCTGGCCTGTTGTCAGCCCAGAGCGGCCTTGGAGTAGGTGAATAACCCTGCCTGGAACAGAGGCAGTGAGCATCTCCCACCTTGCATGACTGCTGGCTGGGCCATGCCACAGCTCCAGGGAAGCTGCGCTCACTGGCAGCCTTGCAGCTGGGCTAGGGTGGCCCCCAGCATGGGAGACACCTCTGAGATCCCATCTCAGCAGCCAAATTCCCCATTCTACTTAGGGAGAGCCAGGCAAGTGACGGGGAAGTGCTGTGGGAGGAGAGAGCCTGCCCAGGGTTCCAATGCTGCACAGGGTCCTGCCCAGTGGAGCCTGCAGGCTAATGGCACCCTGCTTGGGCAGAGTAGCTGCTGTTGCAGGGAGAGCTGTCTGCAGCAGCTAGGCAGTCAGGACTGAGCCTAGGAACAAGGGCAGCAGGAGCTGCTGATGGCAATGAGCCCCGTGTCCCTCTGACTTGAGCTAGGCTCTGTTTTGGGGAAGGGGAACTCCAGCTCTGTGCATGTGCCGATCCAATGTTCTGTGGATGAGGCTGAGGCTGGTCTCCCACTGCCCAGGCCCTGGAAATGGCAGCCTGATTCCCATTCCAGGGGGCAAGGGCTGGTTCACAAAGGAGCTGAGTCAGAGGATGGGATCTCCGACCCCACCCCCGCAATAATGCAGCTGCCAATAACCATCCATGGGACCTGGGGCCTCCCCTCTGGCCTGAAGAAGAGACAGCCAGGCACTCATCATTGTCCCAAGCACCTCCAGCCCCTTGCCCTGCACAACCTGTCCCATGCAGCCCCTGCCCTCAGAAATATTCTCATAATTCCTGTAAGTCACAGAACCAGCCAGGGAGTCAGCCTGGAGAAACACCGCAGTGACTGCGGGGGCATGACCCTGGGCAGCTCCCCATGGCCCGGGGGCAAAGAGCAGGGAGGGCGGCTGCAAGTGAGACAGGGGCCTGCAGTGCAACATGGCAGCAGACAAAGCCAGTGCAATGTGGAGCAGACGGTCCTAGAGGGAACAGGATGGAGGGGAACGGAACAGTTGCCCAGGGAGTTCAGGGTCAGTTCTTGGCACTTCCTGAACAACCATGGAACTTACATTACAGCTCCTGGGCTAATTTTGGGCCAGACACCTTGGCCTGGCTCGGGGGCTTGGTAGCTTAATGATGGGCCAACCGCATGGGGGTAGCAAGGGGCTGACATAGGAAGGGAACAGCCAGGCAGCTGTAATGGCCTGGGGCAGGAGGGGCTCTGCCACTGGGGTATTTAAAATCTCTGGCCTGAGTCCAAGGGAGCTTGGGGCCTCGGGACAGGAGCCTCAGCCAGCTGGGTGGGGACTTGGGGGCCAGTCTCCAGGTCTGACACCAGTGAGGCAGGGGCACTGGGGGCAGCTGGCAGAGAGGTGAGGTCTCCTGGAGAATACCCCTGCTGCAGGGCAGCCCTGCACCACAGCTGGTCCCCAATGGGGCCGGACCCAGAGGGTCTCACACACAGGCAGCAAGGGCAGAAGGTGGGGCTGCTCTAACCAGTCCCAGCATGGGGAGACCAAGCTGGCCACACTCAGTCCCTGGGCCAGTGCGAGTGTGGCAGCAGGCAGGCTTAGGCTCACAGGTGCTGGGCATGTCATGCATTCCCGAGTGGCTTGGCCTGTTTGCAGCCTCTGTGCCTGCATGGCCACAGAACCTCACCGGCTGGCTAGAGAACTTGTAGGCTCTTTGTGGCAAGCTCCTGTCCCACATCTCTGCCCCTCATTTCCTGAGCCCCCTCTACCACCATCCATGAGGGGCCATCTCTGCCCTTCTCTCTTGCCTGGGGGTAACGCCTCTGGAATTTGAGACCCACGTGGGCCAATGAGACGGGGGGGGCATGTGTCTGTTTAAATTACCCTGAGCTGACTCCGTGGCCTGTCCCTGCTCCCTCCCGGGGCCCTGCCAGGGAAGAACGACACATGTAATTAAGTGGCAGCGAGCGGCAGCTTTGTATGTTTCTCCCGGCGCTGTCACCATGACAGCCGCGCGGAGTGGCTGCCGGTTGCATTGTTCCTGCCCCTGGCAGCTCTGCAGTCGGGATTGGCCACTATCGGTCTGTGGCGAGCACATGGGGGGCAGCAGTGGGCTCTGCCCATGCCCCCCCAGCTCCTGCCAGCCTTGCCCGGGCAGCAAAACAGCTCGATACTGGGCTGCAGCCCGGTGCCAGCTCCCGACACCCACCTCTGGAGCCTTGCCCAACCTGGCACCACCCCTGTGCCACCCACATGGGCGGTGCATCCTCCTGGCACATGCCCCCCCAGGTGACTCCACTGCCCCCCTTTTTTGTCCTCACCCCAGGCCAAACCTGGGCCTGTCCCTCCCTGGAGCCGCTCAGGGGGCCAGAGTTTCCCCATAATCTACTGGACAGAGGCCTCTGTGCCCCACAGCCCCGCTCTCAAGCTGCCCAGTGAGGGCTCTGACTGGACAAAGCAGGTAGCAAATAATGGGGGTGGTGTCTGGGAGCCAGGACGCCTGGGTTCCAGCCCCAGCTCTGGGAGCGGAGCGATGTCCCCTGGCTGGGCGGGGGGGGGGGGGGCGAGCCAGGACGCCTGGGTTCCAGCCCCAGCTCTGGGAGCGGAGCGATGTCCCTGGCTGGGCGGGGCGGGGGGGGGGCGAGCCAGGACGCCTGGGTTCCAGCCCCAGCTCTGGGAGCGGAGCGATGTCCCCTGGCTGGGCGGGGGGGGGGGGGCGAGCCAGGACGCCTGGGTTCCAGCCCCAGCAGCGCGGTGAGGGTCCCTGGGACCGGCAGGACACGCCAGGCAGGGGGCTCCCGGGCCGATTCCCGGGGGGCGCAGCCCCAGCCGGTTCCACCCCCAGCAGGGGGGGGCTGGAGGGGCGGCCGGGGGAGGGGCCAGCGGCGGGGCGGGAGCCGGGCGGGGCCGGGGAGCTCGCGAGCGAGAGCCGGGCAGAGCCGGGGAGCGCTCGGCAGACAAAGGGAGCCGGGCCGGGGCCTCCCTCCATGGCGGGGCGCGGGGAAGCGGCCGCCGGGAGGGGCCCGGCCTGAGCTCGGGCTCGGCGCTCCACGTGCGCGGCCGCCCGGCGCAGGATCGGGGCCGCCCAGATCGGCGCATCCGGTAACTTGCGGGGGGGCAGCGGCGGGGGGGGCCGAGCGCGCGCACCTGTCTGCGCGCGTGCCCGGCTGCGGAGGCGAAAGCAGCCGCCGCGCGTGCCCGGCTGGGGGCGGGCGCGCGGGGGCCCTGGAGAGCGCGGGGGCTGCACCGTGCACGAGCCGGGGGCGAGCGGGGCTGGGACCCGGCCCCCCCCTGCGGCGGGGCGGGCTCGAGGGGTGCGGGGCAGAGCCCGGCCCCTCCACGTGCTCGGCGCGGGGGCCCCTGCAGGGCGGCTGGAGCCGGGTCCCGGGGGTCCCGCAGCCGGCTCTGGCCCGCCCCCGCCCCGCGCCAGGGGAGATGGAGCCGGGGCTCGGCCCAGGCGCCAAGCGCGGCCCCGGGGCTGCGCCCCCTCCCCGCGCGGGCTGGGCCCGGGGCCCGCTGCAGCTCGAGGCTCGCCCGGCGGCTCCGCACCCCGGCCCGCTTCTGTGCGCGCAGCCAGCCGGGCGGGCGAGCCCTGCAGAGTCCCGGGCACCAGGCTCCCCCAGCCGGAGTCCCGGGGCGCCAGCCCTCCCCTGCAGTGCCCCCGGGCACCAGCGCCCCCCCACCCCCTTTGCCCTTGCAGGACCCCTGCCCAGGAATCTGTTGCCTGCCCTGGCCCCAGTGCGCCAGCTGCCCGCACCGGTTTGGCTCCTGTTCCCTTCGAGCCCAGCCTGGTCATGGCTGTGGCTCTGCCTTTCCCCCCTTCCAGCCCAGCCTGATTGGGAGACATGCCCTCGGGGAAGGAGCTGCGTGGGCTGCATGCAGGGTATGAGAGTTAAGCTCTGTCCCGGGTCAGGCTTTACCCATTGCTACTTGTGTGCTGAGGCCCCCTCTCCCACGCTGCTGCCCTGGAGGTGTTGGCATAGCTGGGCAGGTACTGCTTCTTGTCCCTGGAGGGGGGCAGGGGAATGTAGGGCAGCTCCGTGCCCCTGCTTTCTGGCCAGCACCCGGCAACCTGGTAGGGTCAGTACTGCTCCAAGTAGGGGCCACCTTCTGGGGCCACAGCTCTGCCTGGTGCCAGAGTTCTCCCCTGAGCTCAGAGCCCAGCTGCGGTCTGACACACACAGGTGTGCGTTTGCTGGTAGGGGACGTTTCCTCTGGAAATGCAACACGGGGGGTCTCCCCTCTCAGCACTTTTCCTTGCAACTTGAAGGGAATCTCTGTCTTGCCCTGTAGTGGGCCTCAGATGCTAGACAGAAAGTATCTGGCCCAGTCTCTCCATCCCACTGGCTGCAGTTGCTCCCCTGAGATCAGGGCAGGTTCTGGGTTGGTGATGGCTGACTGTGTTAGAGGAGGGTCTGCCATTGCTCTGCACCTGGCACCCTGGGCAGGTCCCAGTGAGCCCCTCCTTCCATACATCATGACAGGTTTCAGAGTAGCAGCCGTGTTAGTCTGTATTCGCAAAAAGAAAAGGAGGACTTGTGGCACCTTAGAGACTAACCAATTTATTTGAGCATAAGCTTTCGTGAGCTACAGCTCACTTCATCGGATGCATAAAGTGGAAAATACAGTGAGGAGATTTATATACACACAGACCATGAAACAATAGAGTGGGAGGAGGTATTGTTTCATGGTCTCTGTGTGTATAATGTCTTCTGCAGTTTCCACAGTATGCATCCGATGAAGTGAGCTCACGAAAGCTTATGCTCAAATAAATTGGTTAGTCTCTAAGGTGCCACAAGTTCTCCTTTCCTTCCATACAAGGACCTACAGCCATGTGGCTTGTGGCGGCTTTTTGCATGCTCTCCCCAGGGCTGGCTGGCCTAGGACCTTACATGCCTTGGGGCTCTGGAGGAGGTTCCTTTCTCCAGTGCTAGGGAGGCTGCAGTGCCTGACCCTGGGGCGCGGATCGCTCCGTTCAGAGTCTTGATGCCAGTGGACGGTTAGAACCAGCTGTGCTTGAAGGAGCGAAGAACTTCCTCGACTGCTGGACCTAGAACAGAGCAAGAGGCCAGTCTTGCTGTGGAGCCCCCAGCGGCCCTGGGTGCAGCATGCAGTGGTTAATCATTGAAACACAGACAGCCTTAGTTCTACTCTGATTTTTATCCAGCTTCCAGACATTGGAGCTTGTTCTGCCTTTGTCTCGAGTAAAGCTCCCTCTCCCGTCAAATCTTTCTGCCATGTGGGAACTCGGACTGTGATCCATTCACCTCTTAACTTTCGCTGGTAAACTAAACAATTGATCCTCTGGCTCTCACCAGGCAGGGAATTGTGCTACTGGCTCTCTTTGGAACCTTTCCAAGTGTTCTCAGCATCCTTTTGGAAGGGCGGCCCCCAGAACTGGACACAGCATCTAGTAACAGTCTCGCTATGGCCGTCTGCAGAGATGACACCGCCTGCCTCGTCCTGCTGATAGTTACCAGTTAGAGAATATTTCAATAAGTTTGATGGATTCGAGTCGGCAGGGCCTGAGGAAATTCATCCTAGGGTACAAAGGAACTAGCAGATGCCATCTCAGAACCATTAGCAATTAATTATCTTGGAGAACTTAGGGGAGGGGTGAGGTCCCAGAGGACTGGAGAAGGGCACACAGGTAAAAAAGGGGAACAAAGGGGACCCAGGGAATTACAGACCAGTCAGCCTAACTTCAATACCTGGAAAGATACTGGAACAAACTATTACACAATCTGTTTGTGAGCACCTAGAGGATAACAGGTTATAAGGAACAGCCAGTGTGGATTTGTCAAGAACCCACCTCATCTTCTTCTTTGACAGGGTCACTGGCCTAATGGATGGGGGAAGCCGCAGACGTGAGGTCTTGATTTTAGCAGGGCTTGTGACACAGTCCCGCATGACATTCTCAGAAGCAAACTGGGGAAGTTCGGGCGAGATGGAATTACTAGAAGATGGGTGTCCAACTGGCTGAACAATTGTCCTCAATGAGGAGTTAGCGGCTCGCTGTCAAACTGGGACAGCGGAGCTAGTGCAGGCATAGGTCCTGAGGCTGGTCCTAGTCACCATTTTCGTCCCTGACTTGGGTAACGGAGTGGGGAGGGTGCTTATAAAATCCACAGCTGACACCAAGCTAGGAGGGGTTGCAAGCATTTAGGAGGGCAGGATTAGAGTTCAAAATGACCCTGACAAATTAAAGAATTGGTCTAAAATCAATAAGATTAAATTAAATAAAGACAAGTGCAAAGTACTACATTTAGGAAGGAAAAATCAAACGTGCAGCTACAAAACGGGGAATAACTGGCCAAGTGATAGCCCTGCTGAAAAGGGTCTGGGGTTACAGTGGATCACAAATTGAACATGAGTCAACAATATGATGCAGCTGCAAAAAAAGGCTAATATCTCCCTGGTGGTGTATGAACAGGAGCGTCGTACGTAAGCCAGGGGAGGTCACTGTCCCGCTCTGCTCAGCACTGGTGAGGCCCCAGCTGGAGTGTCCAGTTCTGGGTGCGGCACACTAGGAAAAACGTGGACCAATAGGAGGGAGTCCAGAAGAGAGCAACAAAAAATTGATCAAAGGTTTAGAAAGCCTGACCTATGAGGAAAGGTTAAAACACCCGGCGTGTTTAGTCTTGACAAAAGAAACTGACTAAGGGGTGGGTACCTGATAAGTTTCCAGTTATGTGAAGGGCTGTTCGAAAGAGGATTGTGATCAGTTGTTCTCCATGTCACTGAAGGCAGGACAAGAAGCAATGGGCTTTGTCTGCAGCCAGGGAGATTGAGGTTAGATATTAGGAAAACTTCTTAACTCTCAGGGTGGTTAATCTGTGGAACAGGCATCTGGAGAGGTTGTGGAATCCCCATCATTGGAGGGTTTTAAGACCAGGTTGGACAAACACCTGCCAAGGAGGGTCCAGCTTTTCTTAGTCCTGCTTCAGTGTAGGGGGCTGGGCTCGGTGGCATGTCGATGCCAGGGTGGCCAGCCCTTCATTTCTGTAACGCGGTGATTCCTTGCTCATATAGCCAAGGATCACGTTTGCCCTCCTAGCGACAGCCCTGTGCTGGGTGCTCCCATTCAGCAGGTTTGTCATGAGCCCAAGTCCTGATCTGCGTCGCTGCTTTCCAAGGTGCTGTCCCCCAGCCTGGGAGTGCGGCCAGTCCTCCAGGTTCCTGAGTGTAGGTGGGTTAAAGGAATGGGGCTGAGCCCACTTTACCGTGTGATGCGAATCACTCTGCAGAACTGACCCGTCAGCAGTTATCACGCCAACAATTTTTGTCCTCTGCAAAATTAGAGCAACTGCTTTATCCTCAGCCATATGATACTGACAGCCTTTGGCCAAAACCAGACCCCTGCCTGACCCCTCTAGAAACCAGATGTATGTAAAGGGCAGGCCACCTCCCCGCTGCCCTCTTATGGCCAGGGGTGGCTCTGCAGCACACGGCCTCGGTTTCCCCTTCGCAGGTTCCCAGGAATGCTCCATGGAGGCTTCCATGCAATACCAACCCCCTTCCTTGGGGACTGGTTCATTAACATAAAGCAAACCCAAAGGTAAGTCTCTGCTCCACCAGCCTCCCACGGGGAGCAGCACCTCCTCCCTGAGCTCTGGCTAGCTCCCAGCCTCTCCATTTGGCCCAATTTTTAGCCCTTCCCAGGTTCTGCTCAGTCTGTCCCTGTGAGCTTGGGGGTTGCACAGGCCTCCTTGCTGGGCCTGTGTTTCAGCTTCCCCAGCAGCGTCCTTCAGGTGCCTTATGCAGCAGTTCTCGGTCATTCTTCCCCTTCCCTCCTTGGGCTGAGAAGTCCAGACGGCACCCCTCCCCCGCTGCTGGCTCCCCTTTAGGGCCCAGGGGCTTCCTGTAAACCTAGTTGGGCACCAAGTAATCAGTCATGGGTGCGCCAGCCCCGCTCCCTCTTAAAGGGGCCAGTCACCCCGTGACAGCCTCTGGGGATGAAAATACCCCATTGATAACTGCTCTTGGAATCTGTCAGCCAGTTTCTAGTCCATTTAATCTGTGCTTCATTAAGAACTAGCACTGTACGAATGCAATCAATTAATAATGTAATCGAGGACTGTGGGGCTACAGTTAAATGCCTTACAGAAATCTAACTGTCCTGTCAAGTTACCTTTACTAACTATGGTTGTAATCTCAAAACAATACCAAGTTTGTTTGACAAGGCCTGTTTTCTGTGAAACTACGTGGATTGACATTAATTATGCTGCTCTCCTCTTTATTCTTTACTGATTGCATCCTGTAGCAGCTTTTCTATGATATTGCCCAGGATGAACATCAGACTAATTGGCCGATAGTTACCCGGCTCATCTCACTTAAGCTAAAAGGGTATGTTGTGACAATATTCTTTTTTCCCCTTCTCTGAGACTTACCCATTGTCCAAGAATTATGAGATATTACCAATTACTCAGCTGTTCCTTAGCCAATTCTTTTACAACTCTTGAGTAAAAATTATCCGTTCTTGTCCCTTTAGAAGTGTTTCACTGAAGCAGTGGCTGCTGCTCTCTGGCCTGGTCAGGACCAGGCTGACAGGCCCTGTGGCATCATGGTGGATCCTGGGGTCCGAGGAAGCTGTTTAACCCAGCTCCTTCCAGTTCCCTTGCCTCCCTGGCTCCTTCGGTGAACCTTGAGAAGCAGACGGGGAGAGGAGCTCATCCTGACCCCAAGCAGACAGGGTCTGGGGCTGCCAGCTATAAGCAATGCCTCCCATTTCTAGAATCTTTCAGCTTGTTGCCATGCCAACCCCAGCCCTTCCCAGGAGGCTGGCAAGCCCGGTGCCCCCCTTCTCTTCACAATCCCTTTGGACCAGGCTCTGCTGGGCTTGGTGCCTTGGCCACCTTAGAGCACCAGCCTTGGTGTCTGGGGTAGGGCATGCACCAGGCATGGGACCCTGGCTACGGAGGGGGGTGGGAACATGCACGTGGGAATGCAGCCCTTAAATGAGCAGCTGGGGGTGGGGAAGGGGGCCTGGGCTAATGGGTGGCGGTCGGTATGGGGAGGAGGGAGGGACCCAGCCAGAGGGAATCCACACGGCTGTAGCCGGGAGCCGGCCTGGCCACCCTGAGCTGGGATCACTTACCTGTGGGTGAGTCACTAGGGGCACAGCGGTGTGGCCGTCATGCTCAGGTCAGTCGGTCTGTCTGTCTGTCTGCAGGGGGCACCGTCGGCTGCTCGGCACAGCGATGGGAAGGAGCTGGGCTGGGCGCTCTTGGTTTGGACGGGGCTACCCAGCCTGGCCTGCGGCTCTGCAGATCCCTGCGGCGGACGAGCCCCTCCGGAGTGCCCACCCCCCCCCGGGTCGTCCCTGCCTGGTGCCTGGGGAGCAGGGCAGGCCCTGACCCTCGCCCCCCGGCTCTGCCTCCCATCCGTCCCCAGCGCGGGGAGCAGGCGCCATGGCAACGGGTGCTGGCAGCGCGGGGGCAGCCCTGAGCCAGTGACGAGACGTCGGAGCTGGCACCTGGGCCCAGGCGATGGGCAGCGGGCGTGCGGTGCCTGCCTGCAGCTGAGGGGCGCCCCGGCCCCCGGCCCAGCCACCATGGCGATGTCCCAGGGCACCTACACCTTTCTCACCTGCTTCGCCGGCTTCTGGCTCATCTGGGGCCTCGTCGTGCTGCTCTGCTGCTTCTGCAGCTCCCTGCGGCGCCGTCTGAAGAGCCGGCAGGAGCAGCGGCTGCGGGAGCAGAACCTGCGTGCGCTGGAGATGGAGCCGCTGCACTACGAGGGCTTCTCGGGCAGCCCCCCCGGCATGGCCACAGCCATCCCCCCCCGGCTGCGCCTGGAGCCGCGCCACCCCCCCGCCCCAGCCCCCCGGCCCTGGAGCTACAGGCACGGTGAGGGCGGCTGGTGACCCGTGGTGCCAATTCCCTCGGCCCGGCCCATCCCCGCCAGGGCTTCCCAAGGCAGGGTAGCGGGCGCTGCTCACGCAGGCTCCAAGCCGGAGGCAGGGCCAGCCCCTCAGAGCCTCTCTGGCTCCCACAGCCCCGTGCTGCCCCAATGGCCAATCCAGCAGGACCCCCGGCTGCCTGGCCCTGCTGAGGCCGCCGGGCCTGGCTGTGCTCGGGCCCAGGGCAGAGTGCCATACGGACACCCATCCATGGCTGGAGCCCTGCAGCCCTCATAGAGGCTGCGGTTTAGGCCCCATCTACACATGGAAGAAGGGGGCGAGCCTGGGCCCCAGGGCTGATGCGGCCCCTGCACTCAGTGCTTGTCTATGCTGCTTGCCTTGCAGAGTCGGACCTGTCCAAGCCCCCGTGCTACGAGGAGGCGCTGCTCATGGCTGAGCCACCGCCGCCCTACAGCGAGGTGCTCATGGACACGCGGGGGCTGTACCGCAAGATCAACGCCCCATTCCTGAGCCACGAGCGCCCCGAGAAACAGGAGCAGCCCCCCAGCTACAAGCCCCTCTTCCTGGACCGAGGCTACAGCTCAGCCCTGCACCTGCCCAGCTCTGCCAGCCAGGGCCCCGCCTGCCCTGCCCTCTACTTGGAGGCTGAGCATGCCCAGCGCATGTTCCCCAGCTGGATGGACTCGGAGCTCAGTGGCAGGGACACGTATGAACCTGGAGCCTGGCACCTCCCTGTCTCCATGCCCTTGTTTGGCAGGACTACGGCAGTTTAGGGGCCTGCCGGGCAGAGCGCCACACTGGAGCCTGCATGGACTGGGGCTGGAGCAGGGCCTGCCTGGGCTCAAGCTGCCCCCTCTCCTTGGGAGCCGGCCCTGGGCCCCACCTCAGGGCTAGTGCAAACCCTGCCTGGACAATGTGAAGCGCTGCCTGCTGCGGCCAGTGTGTGAGGGGCTGGTCCCCATCTCGCCCCGTGGGCCCCTGCAGGCGCCCTTGGTGCTGACTGGGGCTCCGAGCAGGCCCTGCACTTGGCTTTTTCCTAGTTTGTTTGTTACAGTTTGAGAATAAAAGTTTGTGGCACCAGATTAATTCCAAGCAGGGCCAGGCTGCCTGGGCTGGGGGGGGGGGGGGGGGGGGGGGAGGGAGACTCGGGGCAGGCTCCATCCTGCCCTCCACAAGGGGGCTTGGAGCATCCCTCTCAGCAGGTGAGTCCAGCCCCACAGGCCTGGGCAGATCAGCCTGGATCCACTCTCCCCCAGGGCAGGCTGGGCCTCTGTCACAGCACAGGTGCCCGCTGACCCTGCAGGCTGCCGAGGCCCAGAGCCCAGGTCCTGCAGCCAGGGCTGGAGCAGGGTGGCCTCCCCCATGCACTCACCAGCCCAGCTCACTGCTGCTCCCACAGAAAGCAGCCAGGCTCAGCCCAGGCCAGGGTGGAGGCTTTATTTATTAACATACATTAGCACGTTGCCAATACACAATTTGTGCTTTCAAAAAAACCAGTTACTGTACTTGAGAAAGGGACCAAGCAAGGGGGGGACAAAGCAGGGGGGCACAGGAGGGCTCACAGTCTGGGGGATCGCCACAGTCTCCTACTGAGACTGGCAGGGTCCTTGCAGCTGAGACAGCCTCAGGCAGGGAGGGAGAGGCAGCCTGGCACTAACTCTCTCCCAGCCCCCACCGTAGGGGTGCTTAACACCTGCAGGGGGAACACCTTCCCCTCGGGGGCGGGGCTCTGCTGCACAAGCACCTTGGGGCGCCTCTGAAGTGAGGGGGCTGCAGCCAGCCAGAGCCGCACCCACACAGGGCCATTTTATTGCCATATTTATTTTTAATTCGTGCAAAGTTCTCAGGGCTCTGGGCAGAGCCGGCGGGCAAGAGGCAAATGAGGCCCCTGCCCCATGCACAGAGCACCAGCTGCCCAGCCTCCCTCAGGGCACCAGGGCAGGGGAGCTGAGGGGCACGGAGAAATATATAAGCTCAATGCAAAGAGGCAGGAGCAGCGGGGTGGGGAAGCAGGGAGCTACCAGGGGAGGGGGGCGGGCGTACCCACGTGGCTCCTAGTGAGACAACTTTTAAAAAAAGAGAGAGAGAGAGAGAGAGAGAGGAAAGCTGTAAAAGTTGCCCTGGGAGGGCAGGGGTGCCGCGGGGCTGGCCCATCCAGCCGGGCCCAGGGGCACACGCAGACGGAGAGGGATGGGGCTGGGCCCCTCGTTGTGGCCGTCTTGCACTGCTGGGATCTCACGGTGGCGGTCCCGGGGGTCTGACACGCACAGGGCCCAGCCTTAGACGCTGCCCCCAAAGCTCTCCTCGTCCTCAGGCACCGGGTCGGCATCCCAGCAGGTGATGTCGATCTCTGTGGGAGAGTCGGACACGTTAGCACCAGGCGGCCCAGTGACCCCCCGCACCCCCTCCCGAGGGGGAGCAACGCAGGGCTTTGGGCTGCCCCCCACATGCAGAGGGCTGTCCCACTCACCGGGGGGCTTGGCGTAGAACACAGCAGGAGGAGTTTTGGCAGAAGTCTCCACCTGGCCAAACTCTTCATCCTGAGACTGGCTGAAGTAGCCCTCGCTGGCCTGGAAAGGAGAACGGAGCTCCATCAGCAGCAGCCACGGAGGAGCCCAGAGCAGAGTGAGCAGCCGGCGGGACAGTGGTTCCAGCTGGCCCTTTACCACCTGGCCACAGCCCAGGACTTGCCAGCACAGGGAGGTGAGCAGGGCCCTGCATGCAGCTCCAGGACACCCCTCCCACTGCCACTGCTGCAGGCTCAAGCTGGGCTCTGCAGCCGGGTAGGCCCAGGAGCCAGAGCCCACCCGCCAAGGGGTCCACAGGGCGTGGAGGACCGAGCCGGGGCTTCAGTGGGTATGGGGCAAGCGCCCCAGGGAGCCTCTTGCCTGACCAGGTTGGGGGAAGGGGCTCCAGGTGCAGCAGGAACCTGGTGCCCAGCTCACCTGCACCCCTTCCTTCTGGGCCATCTCCCCGTTCGTCAGCAGCTGGGGCTCGGGGGCCTGCTGCCCGCTGGCAGCCTCCTGTAGGGCATGCTGGTAGCTGAGCGTCATCTGGTGCGGCCCCTCCATGGCAATGAGGCTGGCCGGCTCCTCGTCCTGCTCCGCGTCGCAGAAGGTGGCCGGTGGCTCGGGCAGCTCGTCGAAGTTCAGCAGGTTGTCGTCAGGGGGGCCGGGGGTCGCAGGGGTGCCTGGGGGCACGTCCACCTCCACCTCCACCAGGAGGGGCGCGGGGGGCCCTGGCGATGCGGCGGTGGCCAGCTCCCAGGCAGCGGGTGGGGTGATGCTGTCATTCTGCCACAGGTCGATAAGGCTCTCGGGGCCGGGGGGCCGCGTGGGGCCCGAGGACTCCTCTGCGGGCAGCACGGCCACGGGGAACAGCAGTGGCTCTCTGGGCTCCAGGAACACAAGATCCTCGGTGGGGCCCAGCCCGCCCCCCCGTGCCGCTGTCCACGCAGGGTCCCCGGGCGGCTCGTCTGCTGTCGGCGGTGCCAGCATCTCGCTGCTGGGTCCGGGCGAGTCTGCACGGAGGGGGAGAGAGCGCATCAGAGTCCAGCCCCAGCTCCCGCCTGCCCTCCGGGGAGGGGCACCCTGGGCTCCCCTGCACCCCACCTTTCCGCGGGGCCTGCTGCGTCACTTCGTCCAGAGCCCTCTCGATCTGCTCCCCGACAGGCGTGGAGGCCGGGCTGGAGTCACAGGGGCTGCAGCCCACGGCCGAGGCCTTTCTGTGAGCGTCCGACTGGCTGCCTGCGAACGAGCGAGACGGAAGCTGAAGGGGCCCCAGGCCGACCCCTCGCCAGCCAGTGCATTGGCACATGTACAAATAAGCAGGCCCCTCGTTTGCATGCACCCCTCCCACCATCAGCCCACCCTGCCATTCCCTTCTGCTGCCAAGACTCCCTGGGGGTGCCTCCTCCCGTAAGGCACCTGCTGGGCACCCTGCTTGCCCACTGGGGCCTCCAGCCGGGTGAGGGGCAAAGGCCTGGCAGAGCACAGGCCCCAGGATGGTTGAGCACTGGCCTGAGAGCAGGATGCTCCAGGCAGGCGGCTGGGGCCCCAGGGCGACGGGGCCAGCCCTTGAGGTTAACGGACATGGGCAGGGTCGCTCCCCCACGCCCCAAGGCTCCCCAGACAGCCAGGCAGGAATTCAGGCCCCAGGCCTACAGTCACACCCCCGCCAGAGCTAGAAACCCCATGGGAACTGGGCCCAGCACCTAGCACACGCCAGGCCATAGAGCCCCCTCCCCTTCACCAGGCCACGGGGGCAGGACTGCAGCAGGAGTAGGCCCCCCAATGGGACAGGGGCGATTCTGCTCCCACTTGACCCAGTCGCCACTTTAGGGAGACATTTTAAATATTTATTCTACGGAAGCCAGCCTCTCAGCACGCCCCAGCCCCCTGGCCCCCAGCATGCCCCAGCCTCTTGGCCCCAGCCACGCCCCCCTCCCCCAGCACGCCCCATCCACCCAGCACGCCCCAGCTGGTGTCTGTGACGAAGTGGGACTGTTCTTAATGTTTCCTCTGAATAGTGTGGGGGTGCCTCAGTTTCCCCTATGTAGTTCTTAAGTCTCTAGGTGGTGCGGTAAGGGTGTATGATCCTTGCAGAGCCCTAGAGGGCAGGTGTGTGCAGGGGTCTGGACACAGAGAATGGCCGACACCCTGTTTCCTGGCAACTGATGGCCTGGGCCCTTCCCCCCTGCAAGGTGAGAGCTAAAGGGCTGGAGAACAAAGGAATCCGGTGACCTCCTGGCCCGGGAAAGGAACAAAGCCCAGAGGCGGAGGGGCTGGAGGGAGTTTCAGTTTGGAGCTGGCTGGGACATGGAGTGAAGTGCAGATGGGGTTGTCTGGCTCACTGCCCCCCAAAATGGACCTAGCTGAGGGGTCCTGTTCTCTGCACCTGCAAGCTCTGTTTTAGACCATGTTCCTGTCATCTAATAAACCTGTTTTACTGGCTGGCTGAGAGTCACGTCTGACTGCGAAGTTGGGGGGCAGGACCCTCTGCCTTCCCCAGGAGCCCCGCATGAGCGGACTCGCTGTGGGAAGCACATGGAGGGGCAGAGAGGATGCTGAATGCTCCAAGGTCAGACCCAGGAAGGTGGAAGCTGTGTGAGCTGTGTGTCCTGAAGACAGGCTGCTCACAGAAAGGAGACTGCCCCAGAGTCCTGACTGGCTTTGCAGGGAGCATTTCCACAGCATCACCCGGGGACTCCGTGACAACTGGCGGCAGCGGTGGGATGTACTGCCTAGGGGAAACTGAGGCACCCCCACACTATTCAGAGGAAACATTAAGAACAGTCCCACTTCGTCACAGTGTCTGTGAGAAAGGAGGTTTCTGGCCTTCCCATTTGGTCCCCGCAGCTGCTTTCTCCTCCCATCTCCCTCGCCAAACCTCTAGTGCCCTGCAGCTGCCACCTTCCTCTGCAGTGATCACGTGCAGGGGGGCGGCAAGGGGGGGGATGGAGCCTCGGGGCAGGGGCAGGATGGGGCCTCCCCAATGCGCTCTCCCCCCAGCAGGGCGGGGCCTGGGCACTTGCCCGGGCACTGCTACCTACATGGGAAGAAGGAGGAGAGGTTTGGTGTGCGGTGGCAGGTGGCATAGGGGAAGGGGGTCCGCGGGGGGGAGGAAGAGGAGGAGGAGGAGGAAGGCGGCCCACTGTCAGGTGTCTTTATGAAAGGACAGTGCAGACGACCTGCTGAGAGAAAGACAGACAGACGCACGGAGACAGAGAAAGCAAAGAGAACAGTCAGTCTCCCAGGTCTAGTGCCCAGCCCGCCCTCCAGTGCCACCATGAACGGGGAGGAGCAGTGTGGGTGGAGCTGCACCCCGGGGGGGCGGGGGCAGATCAAGGGCATTGAGGGGACGGGGGGAGCAGGGACGGGGGGGGACGAGGGACGGATGCCTGCACTTCTCTCTTGACCGCATCAGCCCTGGCTCCCTGTGGTCAGTAGCACAACCCTGCGTGGCAGGAACAGGACAGGACGCTGCGCCCAGCCACTAGCACATGGGGCACCGGCCCCATGACCCCACAAGCTCCAGGCAGAAGGGGGCAGCGACCAGCCCAGCCTGGCAGCTCCAGACAGAC